ATGTTGTATGATTTAGTCCCTCTTTGGTTGAAACCTTGTCATGTGAGTCCTTCCTTTCCTAGTGCCAGTCAAGTACATCGCCTAGCAATGGTCCTTATTGGTGATGGGCACGTAAGATTCATCACTGGCAATTGTCCCAAGCTGTCTCAATACTCGCGAAGAAGGGTGGAGTCAAATCCTTGTTCTCCCTCGGACGTGAAAAGTTAGAACTCTGAGGAGAATGGTTATAAAAAGAATTCATATAAAAGGAAAAAAGTATAAAGAACGTGGAAAGATGTCACTAAATTTACTTCGAATGTGAAAAGTTCGTTATGTATACACTTATCGGACAGTTGTGAGATCCAACCCCTTAGGGGGACACGTGGCGAACCGTGTTGGGATTTGTCTCGAGTGGACCATGTGAAATTGAGATCCGCCAAAGTTTCGTCGAGGCACATTGGACTCGCTTGCTAAAAAACATTCAAAGGATATACGAGTTCGACATTGATGTAATGATCGAGTTTGGACAAAAGTGCTCTAACTTGATCATGTAATCGATTTCGGGGAGGTCAGACCAAGATCGTGTGATCAAGCTCGAATAGCAATGCCTGAGCTCGACCGAATGGCCTTGATCGAGAAAGGGATACCTCAAGCTCAGCCAAAGTGGTCAGGCTCATGCATGGGTTGCTCGATCTCAACCACTTTCAGGATGGGGTGATCAATCTCTCGAAAAGGTCTCCCGAGTTTGGCCACAGGCAAGCTCGGCTTGATCAGTTTCGACCTTTCGATGTATTAGTAATGAAGAACGTGTGAAATCGAAGCGATGTCTTTGCAATCATTAATTTTATTGGGATTCATTAATCAATATTAGTTCAAAAATTATGTATTATCACAACTCCAAGCTCTCTAAGTTGAGGATGTGTAGGTACATCCATATTCGAGGATTCCTGCAGGTACAACCCTCAACTAGCCAGTAAAAGCTGCCAACCCATGATACTGAATCTTGAGAACATCAATCAATCAGGGTCAAAAGGCATATTGACTTCCTTTGCTGCAATGGATAAGGAGGTGAAAAGCTATTTAGTTGGTGTTAAAGGAGAATCCTTCCGACATTCTCAATGTCCCAACCATTCAAGAGTGGAAATGATAGAGTGAGTATCAAGTGAACATAATAACTTCATGTCCTCTTTGGTACACATTAAAATTTTCATTCTCATTCTTCTACTTATTTTCAATCACATATTTTTCAATAAAATAATATTTTCCATCACATCAGTAACTTTTCCTTCTTTTTCAACCACAAATTCTCCATCAATATTAAAATATGACCAAAAATCTTATTTAGGCCCTGTTTGGTACACATTATTTTTTTCATTCTCATTCTTCTACTCATTTTCAACCACACATTCTTCAATAAAATAATATTTTCCATCACATCAGTAACTTTTCCTTCTTTTTCAACCACAAATTCTCCATCAATCTACTATTTCAGAATACGTTCTTCCAAAATAATGTGGATCAAATACTCCCTTAAATTAATGAATGTTAACGAGATTCTAAAATGCTATATGAGTGTTTTATGTGTATTTTGCAAGTCAATATAGGATATTTAGTACTCCATATTCAACATGTTTGTTATGAATGAAATTCAAATATATAAGTTTGCTATATCTACAACAATGAAACTTTTAAATGAGACAATTCAATATAATATGCAACAAATATTCAGATGTCAAATTTCATTGTCACTTATTCATATGTCAACACTTGAGAGTATATATTAGAACAAAACTTGACTTGCTTCCATTCGTAAGTTAAAAACTTTTGAATGAGATGACTAAATAATATAAATGTACATAGAAATGCCATGCACGAGTGCCTTCAAGTCACTCTTCCTTGAAATTTAATATACAACTAAAAATGTTTCAATAATTTATTTGCCTAATATCACATATCTTCGAGTTAAAAAGGGGGGAAAAGAATGAAAAAGAAAAAAAAATTAAAGATTTTGCTGCCGCTTAAAGTAAAAATAAAAATGGGAACTTATGCATAACCATAATTATAAAACTCGGCCCGGCCAGGCCGGTCGGGTCGGAAAACCGCGGACTGGACCCTAGGCCGGGCCGAGCAGATTAATTTTATAGAGATGAACCAGACTCGGTCAAAATCGAATTTTGACCGAGTCAACCCACAATTTACTCTGTCTGGTTGACCGCTTTGATTGGGTTTTAAAATTTCCTTACAAAATTTTTGGATTTAAGGGAATTGAATCTTAGACCTCTAGGAAAATTATTGAATTCCTCACCACTTGAACTAAAATACTTTAGTAGTATTCGTGTACAATAACTTATATCTATCTAATTAATCATTTATAGCATTTATAAAAATATTCTTTTAAAAAACTTTAGTCCAACATTTTATATTATTTTATAGACCTAAATAATTAGTGAAAAATAAATTAAAATTTTTAATTTTGCCACTAAAAAAAAATTTATACTTTATATTTTTTCGTATGTTTTTATACAATGACCCACCGGTTGAATTACTAACCCATTGATCTGTTACATTATCCGGATCTATATCCTGGTCGAATTTGACAACTATGCTTATAACGAGTCAAACATATATTTCATAATTAAACGTCAGTATCTCATATAGTTATAAGAAACTTATTTTTTAAAATAAATTTAAGGTCGACTCTATAAATCTTATTAATATCTCGTGTCAAAGTTGGTTCAACATTCTCAAATTCATTGAATTTATTCAACAATCAATCATTTTTGAATTATTAAATATTATTGGATCATAAATAGGAACTACCAAGTCAATTTTTCTCTTATTAGGGCCCATTTCGAGTGAAAAGTTGATATTTTTTTTTTCCGTTCAATAGATTATAACACATAGCTTTCTTGTGGTCTGTAATTGACCAAAATTTGTTATTAAATATTAATTGCACTTTCCAGTACGTGAGATGTTGTGATTACGACTAATAACAACAATGTAGGGATGACATTAAATGACTTTTGAGGGAAAGGAAATACTTTTCAAATTTCATAATTATTTGTATCACTCTATTAATGAGTTGATAAATTTTGCCTTTTATAATTGGTATATTGATGAAATCGTGATACTATAAGGACAATCTATCTTACGCGTGTCATTGCACAACATTACACGTCATATTTCCTCAAGTTCAAAGTGACTCCCAAGTCCTCGTAAAAAGTTGGACCCTCAAATTTACTATGGAGAATCAAGATCGTAATGACCATTAATGAAAATGATGAGTAGGAGTAAATGATAGTAAAATATTAATCGAGCCACCTCTCTATACTTAATAGATGAGCCAACACTCCACGTGTAAACTAAGAGTATTGGTTGAGATCGAGTGCTTGACGGTTGTAATCATACAACGATCGGCCTACATGGAAGACAATTGCTAATCGAAGAATTCTCACAACTAACATGTTGTCGAAAAAGTTGGTACGCAAAGAACAATTACGCTCGAGATTATCTATGTTCTGCCCAACATGAATATTGTCACTTGTCTATCTCCTCTTGACGAAGGACAAATATTGCATATCTTTGGATGGATATACATGAATATATCTACATGCATATATATGTCCTTAAGACATGTATTTCTTCTATTTTTGTGGATTATTCTTTAATTATATCTTCTTTGTTTATTTATCATTGTCTTGAGCGTTAGAATAGTTCGACAAAAGTTGTACGCTGTTTCAAAAATCATCCAACCAATCGAAAAATCTACTCTTAATTCTTAAATGCAGCTATTATCCCCAGTGGGTCCCCACCAAACCCAAACCCAAACCCCCACACACGAAAAAGGAACTGACACATCTGTCTTCTGCATCTCCATCATCCACCTGTTAAACCCGCGTCTTTCAGACCAACTTGTGAACTTACACAATTACCCTTCAAGACTTTCAAACTTCCCATCGCACAACGTTAAAGTTCCACAAAAATATAAGATAATTATGTCCAAAATCACAAAAATAATGAATATGTACCCCCCACACTGGTGCATTAATTCCCAATGACACTGCTGTCCAGCATTTTCTCTATACCTGTCTGTTGTTCCTCCTCTCTCTTTTGAAGTTCTGATTATCTCTCAAAAAAATAAAAATCAGAGAGCTGTCCTTTGATCTTGCCACAAAATCCCTTTAATTTTCTTGATTTCCTTTGTTTAAAACCTCCATCAGTAAAAAATCCAGTTCAAAATCAAGACTTTTAATTTCGAACACAAGGAAGTTTCTTTCCAAGGTACGTGTTTGAGGTTCGGACTTTGGAGAGAGAGAAAATCATTCTATGTTATGCATTTATTTATTCACTTTTCTTCCATTATTAGATTCCAACTTTCCCCAAAAAAACATGTAGCAACATTTTTTAAGTGATTCTGACACCATGTAAAGATTGGATTTTTCTGAAATAAAGCTCTCAGAATTTTCTGTTTTTGGCACAAAAACACACTCATATACGTGTATCCATGTTTATGTATATGATGAAGCTATGGTTTTCTGGGTTTTCTTTTAATTACAGAGTTACAGTGTGCGATTATGGTGGGATTCACGTTGCTCTGAAAAGAAGCTTAAACTCTGAGACTTTTCTGGGTGTTTGGAAGGTAACTGTAATTTTTCTTGGGAGTAAAACTGAACGGTGATTTCTCGTCAAATGTTGATGTTGGTGACGTTGAATCTGCCTGTATATCAGTTTTTTATCACCTGTGGAATTCCCTACATTTGTTAACGTGCGACCTCATTATTTTTTGTGCCATGTGAGTACCGTGTGTCCAAGAATGTATTGACTTTATTGTCATGTGAGTGAATGTGGGGCCACGACAGAATTTCTTGTGTTTTCGTCCGTTGATTATATTGTATATTAAGTAGATATTTGTGGACCCTTGATGTGAAATCAAGATCATGAATCATGTGATGTGTTTTTATTTTTCTCTTAGTGTTCCAATTGAGAACTCTTATCAGTTCTTCCATAGGAATAATTGAGGACACATAAATATGACCATTTAAAGTTGTGGGGCGGAGTTGGATGCGCGGTTTGTTTTAAGTGAGTGTTTTGAACATATCTTTGTTTGACAATTGTGCTTTTTACTCATTGATGATACGGGCATACAATTACTGAAGTGTGGTATAGTGTCTTAATTGCATCAGTCGAGTTGTGGGTTACACTTGTGTTTGCATGACACCTACATGGTTGTCATTTGCACGGCTGCTAAACCGTTACATTGACGTAACCTCACTTGTTGGCAATAAAAGGTAGTCGTTGAATGCTTATTCGGGTTCTTGTTTAACTGTAGGATTTCCTATTTGAGCATTGAGCCTTATAGGATATTTTAATATGTGTTGTTATCTGCGATGTGATCAATTTGTACTCAAGATGTGCACGTTGATTAGGATGTTGCATAAATAAATTTCTGAACAACAACGCGTATAATTTGCCGCCCCCTTACCTATTTAATGGGATCCAGTCAAATATTTTTTATACTGATTTGGCTTCATATTGCTAGCTCCAGCTGTCTACGAGACAAATAAAGAAACTAGTAGTCTAATTCCTCCAGGTAGTTATTGGAATCATCCACATACCATTATAATGGATTCGATATTTTATGAAGTTTGGTCCCATGGGAGTTAACTTCTAGTGTTATATGGCCAACTTGCTTGTCATAGAATATTCAGAGACAGTAACCATACTTTTAAAAAGTTATTTTTTCTCCAATTAAACAGTTATCGACTTTATTCATGTCCTTAACTCAAGCACTGATGGTGTAATGAGTCATCATTTTCCAGATTACACGGCATTAGATGCATACCAGGTGGAATTTCCGTTATCTCAAGCTTCAAAGGCAAAACCAAAAGTTTTTCCATATACCTTTAATGTCTCTTCAATCTTTTAGTGTAAAAGTATTTGCTTTTTCTTTTTATCGAGACATGCTTATTGATCATTATACTTAACTTTCGTGTTCATTATCATCATTATCGTAAATATTATGTTCTTCTCTAACTGTTCAGAAGTATTGCTGTTGTTACCTTAACGTTTGAATTGCCCTTTGTTACAGAGCAACCTCATCATTTATGATTTTCTTGTTTTTCAGATGGTTTCAGTCGAGCGATCTGCAGTTACCCCGAGTAAAAGTAGGTGGGCTCGCACTTTCTCTAAGATTTTGCACATTGGAGATGTGACAGCGAAAGGTTCAGATGATCGAATCAAAAAGACTATATCCGAAGAGAAGATAATTAATGATCCGATTAAGAACGCCCAACTTCCCTCGGACAATGAAGACAAGGAGATTCGAGATAGGGCAGTTTTGGAAGCTTTTCTTTCCAAACTGTTTGCTAGCCTCTCTACTGTTAAAGCAGCATATGCCCAGTTGCAGTTTGCGCAGTCTCCTTATGATGCTGATGGGATTCAATCTGCAGATCAGATTATAGTTTCAGAGCTAATGAATTTGTCTGAACTGAAGCATTGTTACTTAGAGAATCAATTGAATGACACGTCTCCAGAGGCTACTCAGATTTTGGCCGAAATTCAAGAGCAGAAGAGTATACTGAGAACTTACGGAATTATGAGTAAGAAATGGGATTATCAGCTTAAACTTAAAGACTCTGAAATAACCTTTCTTAAAGAGAAATTAGCAGAAGCGAACAGAGATAATAAGTCACTCGAGAAGAGATTAAACTCAAGTGAACAGTTAGCCGTGCCTGACAATATTCGTTTATCTGCGTTAAGCCCCAGCCATTTTGTAGCATGTCTTGGGCAGTCAATAAAATCAGTTCGGAGTTTTGTGCGATTGCTAATTAGTGAGATGGAATCTGCAGGGTGGGATTTGGATGCTGCAGCCAGTTCGATTGAACCAGATGTTTTTTTCTGGAAGCCAAACCACAAATGTTTTGCTTTTGAATCCTTTGTTTGCAAAGAAATGTTTGATGGTTTTAATTACCCAAATTTCTCAACCGAACACGAGTCCTTGCTTGAGCAGAAAAAACGACAACAGCTATTCTTTGATAAATTCATGGAGTTGAAATCTGTTAGACCAGCTGATTACTTAGCTGGGAAGCCTAAATCTACATTTGCAACGTTTTGTCGCACTAAATACTTGCGACTTATGCACCCAAAGATGGAAGCATCTCTTTCTGGCAATTTGGATCGGTGGAAATCAGTGAATTCAGGCGAATACCCGGAAGTCCCCTTCTTCCTGTCATTTGCCGAGATGGCAAAGCGCATATGGCTTCTACACTGCCTGGCGTTATCTTTTGATCCCGAAGTCTCAATCTTTCAAGTGACCAAGAAGAGTCGTTTTTCGGAAGTTTATATGCAGAGCTTAAGCGATGAGGCTTTCTTGTCATCGGATGGCACACTCGAAAACAACCCTCGTGTGGCTTTCACAGTGGTTCCAGGATTCAGGATCGGGAAGACTGTTATTCAATGTCAGGTGTATCTTAACTGATCATGAATTCCAAACAGCTCTCAATTCTAGTTGGAAATATGTCAAAGGTAAATTAGGCAATACTGGATAGCATTAAAGAGGAAAATGTAAGAATTTTGTTCATTGTACTTTGCAGTCGTGTCGATTACTGCGTACCAAACATTTTCTAATTATGCATGTTTTGTGAAAAAGGTATTAGATGATAGATAAACAAAATTTTAACTTCACATTCTTATTTAATATATTATCATGTCGAATTTACCTTGTAACATGCCATAAACGCGATAATTAGGCTTAACATCCGATACGACAACATCATGGATTGAAATATTTCCTCCTTAATCATTCATGAAAAATGATAGCCATAACTTGCCTGGTCTGAACTTTTTTGTCACTTTTTCCTTGGAAAAGGAAGGTGGGCCTACGTGGCCCTCGTATTGTAGCATAGCCCTTTTATATTAGTTATTGTTTTTCTGTGCCTGCTAACTATTTGCTTATATTCTGCACAAATGATGTATTAATTATGTCTAGAATATCTGATACCAATTGTTGATAATTCAAGGATCACGTATCGCTCGATACCATTTGATATGAAACCAACCATCGAATTGAGATGTTGAAGTTTTATACGACACAATAATGAAATATTTGATCACAAGCAAACGAATAAAAGAAGACGAGAAAATATGATAGAGGAATTATGAAATTTTATTGCAACAATAAAAATGAGAAATATACAATTGATCCTAAAGTTCTAGTAATTTCTTTTCTCACATTATTCTCACATTATAAAATTGTATGGAATAACTTAATATTTATAGGCAATATGTAGGGGATATCCAAACCCTCCAAGTAGAGATGTTGATAAGATATCAAAAAATGGAGTCCAAAATAAATTTCAACTCCCAATGAGTTCCAAAAATAGAACTTCAATTTGATATAGAACTCAAATAACATTTCAAACTGAATTCTTCTTGACGTGCATTTCAATTACTTCAATAAGAAATTCAGGTTACACCCAAATTTTAACAATTTTCACATTGACACGAATTCTATTACAACGAACAAAGCTCCAAAATATTTTCCACTTGGAGAAGAAAATCCGTCTACAAGGAATGAACCGACTCTTCAACAATAATCAAAATTGATTTCTCCAACCAACACAAAATACTCCACATCTTCCAATGAATCTAAGCACTATTCTACAGAATTACCTCAAATTCTTAAAAAATCATAATGATTTTAAAATTCACCAAATTGGGCTGTAATACACCCAAAAACAGAATCAAACCCAAATGTTTTTAAAGAATGCCCTTTGCTAGATTGTATACCTTCACTACACTGAAAGTATGCTCAACAAAATCAGCATCCACATACCTTTTACCACTTGGTCCATCCATAGCAATTGAATACAATGGTACCGCATGTGGTGGCGGCGGCAAAGAGACATTATCCATATCTCCTGAACTCTACTAAGCAGTATTCTTCAAATCCAACCATTTACGAGCTCCTAAAAGTATTGTACCAAACTGAATGTCCACCACAGTACTGAACTTGTGCTGATTGACTCTTTTAGATTCTGCACGACCCTGCAAGATATATAATTGAGACCTTTTATGTCCCTCCAATACAACATGAGCACCATTACAAACTTTCAAAGCTCCACATTCACCAAAGAACTCATAACCCGTTGAATTAAGGAAAGACAACGAGATGAGATTCTTCTTCAAATCCGGAACATGTCAAACTTGGTCAAGTGTTCTAATTGTCTCATCCAATAGCTTCAATCTGACCGCACCAATTCCAACAACCCGGCAAGGTGTGTTGTCTCACATAGCCACAACATCTTTGGAAACGGTTTCATATGTAATAAATAAGTCGTTATTAGGACACATAAGAAACACACATGCTGAATCAGAATCCAATCCTCCCCTGTTTAGACTCGATATCATAAATAGCCAAGAGATCTCTTACTTACAATGTTCTCTATGAGGTCTGTTTCACCTGAAGTCTCTGATTGCTTCCCATATCGACTTGCAGTCAACTTTTCTTTATTCTACAATTTGTAGTAATCCTTCTTCAAGTGCTCATTCTTCTTGTAGAAGTTACAAATCTAATTATTGAACTTAGACTTCAATCTGCCCCTTCCAGAACTACCATGAGCAACAAGGTCATCTCCATCTCGACCTCTAAAACCAGATGCTTCATCTTCTCTTTTGAAAATAAAGCAGCATACACCTCCTCTATGGTGAGAGTATCACGATTATACAAGATCGTGTCTCTAAATTAAGAAAACGAAGCGGGTAACGAATACAATAGGACAATGCCAAATCTTTTTCATCATACTTTACTTCCAAAAGTTTCAAATTAGCAACGATCTCTTTAAATACAACCAGTGGATCTTCCAATGATCCTCCTTCTGCCATCCGATGAGATTATAAAAGTTGCTTGAGATGCAACTTGTTTGTCAGATTTTTAGTCATGCACAATTCCTCTAACTTCAACCATAAAGCAGCTGCTGAACCCTCATTTAAAACTTTTTGAATAGATGAAGATGAATTTGAGAAACTACCTTCTTATCCTTCCGTAATTTTTCCTCCGCGGTCAAAGTTGCGTGCATCTTTTCAATTCCCAACAACGCATCATCCAAATCCTACTGTGCGAGTACTGCACACATCTTAATTTGCCATAGCGAACATCTAGTGCTCCAATTCAAAAGCAGAATGTCATATTTCATGAAAGTCATCACAAACAAAAAAACTTCGGACAAATCAAACCCCGCGTTCTTGCGGAACTGCTGAACCTAGGCTCTGATACCACTTGTTGTGAAACAAATAAGATACCGTGATCGCTCTGATACCATTTTTTGTGTTAATTATGCTCAAAAATATCAGATACCAATTATTGGAAATTTAAGGATCACGTATCGCTCGATACCACTTGATATGAAACCAACCACCAGATTGAGATGTTGAAATTATATGACACAATATCACAAACAAAAGAATAAAAGAAGACAATAAAATATGACATATAAATTAGGAGATTTATTGATACTGGATAGCATTAAAGAGGAAAACGTAAGAATTTTGTTCATTGTACTTTGCAGTCGTGTCGATTACTGCGTACCAAACATTTTCTAATTATGCATGTTTTGTGAAAAAGGTATTAGATGATAGATAAACAAAATTTTAACTTCACATTCTTATTTATATATATTATCATGTCGAATTTACCTTGTAACATGCCATAAACGCGATAATTAGGCTTAACATCCGATACGACAACATCATGGATTGAAATATTTTCCTCCTTAATCATTCATGAAAAATGATAGCCATAACTCGCCTGGTCTGAACTTTTTTGTCACTTTTTCCTTCGAAAAGGAAGGTGGGCCTACGTGGCCCTCGTATTGTAGCATAGCCCTTTTATATTAGTTATTGTTTTTATGTGCCTGCTATACTATAAAGAAGATTTTTTTTTTCATAACTATTTGCTTATATTCTGCACAAATGATGTATTAATTATGTCTAGAATATCTTATACCAATTGTTGATAATTCAAGGATCACGTATCGCTCGATACCATTTGATATGAAACCAACCACCGAATTGAGATGTTGAAGTTTTATACGACACAATAATGAAATATTTGATCACCAGCAAACGAATAAAAGAAGACGAGAAAATATGATAGATGAATTATGAAATTTTATTGCAACAATAAAAATGAGAAATATACAATTGATCCTAAAGTTCTAGTAATTTCTTTTCTCACATTATTCTCATATTATAAAATTGTATGGAATAACTTAATATTTTTAGGCAATATGTAGCGGATATCCAAACCCTCCAAGTAGAGATGTTGATAAGATATCAAAAAATCGAGTCCAAAATAAATTTCAACTCCCAATGAGTTTCAAAAATAGAACTTCAATTTGATATAGAACTGAAATAACATTTCAAACTGAATTCTTCTTGACGTGCATTTCAATTACTTCAACAAGAAATTCAGGTTACACCCAAATTCTAACAATTTCCACATTGACACGAATTCTATTACAACGAACAAAACTCCAAAATATTTTCCATTTGGAGAAGAAAATCCGTCTACAAGGAATGAACCGACTCTTCAACAATAATCAAAACTGATTTCTTCAACCAACACAAAATACTCCACATCTTCCAATGAATCTAAGCACTACTCTATAGAATTACCTCAGATTCCTAAAAAATCATAATGATTTTAAAATTCACCAAATTGGGTTGTAATACACCCAAAAACAGAATCAAACCCAAATGTTTTTAAAGAATGCCCTTTGCTAGATTGTATACCTTCACTACGCTGGAAGTCTACTCAACAAAATCAGCATCCACATACCTTTTACCACTTGGTCCATCCATGGCAATTGAATACAATGGTACCGGATGTGATGGTGGCAAAGAGACATTATCCATATCTCCTGAACTCTACTAAGCAGTATTCTTCAAATCCGACCATTTACGAGCTCCTAAAAGTATTGTACTAAACTGAATGTCCACCACGGTACTGAACTTGTGCTGATTGACTCTTTTAGATTCTGCACGACCCTGCAAGATATATAATTGAGACCTTTTATGTCCCTCCAATACAACATGAGCACCCTTACAAACCTTCAAAGCTCCACATTCACCAAAGAACTCATAACCAGTTGAATCAAAGAAAGACAACGAGATGAGATTCTTCTTCAAATCCGGAACATGTCAAACTTGGTCAAGTGTCCTAATTGTCTCATCCAATAGCTTCAATCTGACCGCACCAATTCCAACAACCCGATAAGGTGTGTTGTCTCACATAGCCACAACATCTTTGGAAACGGTTTCATATGTAATAAACAAGTCCTTATTATGACACATAAGAAACACACATGCTGAATCAGAATCCAATCCTCCCCTGTTTAGACTCGATATCATAAATAGCCAAGAGATCTCTTTTACTTACAATGTTCTCTATGAGGTCTGTTTCACCTGAAGTCTTTGATT